CAAGTGCGGTTACGTCACCGCCACACGACGACGGCTGTCCCAATTCGAAGTGTGCTTCAAATGCTCCCTCCAACCGGTTGCAGCAGATGGCCGCCCCTCCCTGAGCCTGGTTCTGCCGGAGGTTTCTTCCTGTTAAAAGGGAGTTTTTCCTTCCCACTGTTGCCAAAGTGCTTGCTCATAGGGGGTCATATGATTGTTGGGTTTTTCTCTGTATCTATGAAGTGCCTTGAGGCGACTTATGTTGTGATTTGGCGCTATATAAATAAAATTGAATTGAATTGAAATGCATACTCCAAATCCGCCGTCGATTTCCCCAAATATCAAGCGTGGTCCGGTGCACGCTTTGTGGTCCCATATATCCCACAATTCATAGCGCGGCGGTGGGTGTGGATAATTTTGCCGCAAAATACGGCAGAAGGGAGCGGCCGAAGAGGTTGTTTTTTTGTTTTTTTTCCCCAAACTTTATTGAAATTATAAAGCGAACAGTCAGTCATTCCAGTTCAGTTTGTACAGTAGACATACAAGGCAAATAAGAGTAACAATATACAGTACAATGAAATAAGAAGGATAAATAAATAAAGGATAAAAAAAAGAAAGGGGGGAATGTGACAGACTTCATAACAACTTTGTACTTGAAAGTTGTGACAGCTCATTCGTTAAACATTTCTGAATGAATTTCAATCAATGATAAACCTTTTTTATTGGAAGTTAATTTAAGAGAGTTTAAGTAATATTCAATTTCAATCAAAAACAAATTAAATGATGGGGTTGAGTTTTGAAATTTACATTTATGTATGTGGAATTTCCCTAATAAGATGGAGCGGCCGAAGAGTGAACTGTCAAAAGTACTGAATATGACGTCACTTATTTATGTGCGAATGTGTAATAATTAAAGTCAGTCATATATCCACAAACACAACAAGCTGAAAGTCAGTGATATATATATATGGCCAAGCTTGAAACCTGTATCCCCCGTAGTCGGTTACCAAGATTACGTGAAGTACCCTCAGAAGGTCTGCTAGATGATGTTAATGCAGCACTACGGACGATACCTACAACCACGATTACCGACACTAACAAGCTGATCTACAATACGGCAGCAGTGATCAGTGAGATGCTTGGCTACAAGTTGAACAGCCACAAGGGGCAGTACCCTCCATGGAGAAGGAGGCTAGAGGGCAAGATCAAAGTAGCACGGAGGGAGGTTAGCCAACTAACGGAGTTGCAGAAAGGTGCGACAAAGAAGGTGCATAAGAAATACAGCAAGCTGTCCATACCTGAGGCCTTGGAAACTGCCAAGCAAAGACTCATAGCCTTGGCCAGCCGCTTGAGGAGGTACACCAGAGAGATAGAAGGCAGGAGAATAAACCAGCTGTTCTCCACAGAACCAGCAAAGGTGTACTCTCAGTGGCAAGGGAACAATAAGAGAACAGCACCACCAAGGCTGGAGACGGAGCAATACTGGAAGAGCATATGGGAGAAGGACGCAACCCATAACGGCAATGCTCAGTGGCTAGTGGATCTGAGGGCAGACCACAGCGACCTCCCTGAACAGGGTCCAGTAACCATCACAGTGGCAGATATCCAAGAAAGGGTCTCCAGTATGAAGAGTTGGACAGCACCAGGGCCCGACATGGTTCACGCCTACTGGCTAAAGAAGCTGACTGCACTCCACGAGCGTCTGGCAGCACAAATGAACCAGCTGCTAGTTAACGAGAGACACCCGGAATGGCTAACCGAAGGTCGGACGGTCCTGATCCCCAAGGACCCCAAGAAGGGACCGGTCCCCTCCAACTACCGACCAATAACCTGCCTCAGTACTACATGGAAGCTCCTGTCAGGCATCATATCGGCTAAGATGAACAGGCACATGGGTCAATACATGAGTGGGACACAGAAAGGAATTGGCAAGAATACCAGAGGCGCAAAACACCAGCTACTGGTAGACAGAACAGTCAGCCGAGACTGCAAGACCAGACTGACCAACCTGTGCACTGCCTGGATTGATTACAAGAACTCTCTTTTAGGAAATATTACTGATAAATGATACTGTGAAACATGTTATTAATACATTCTTCATAAGGCAAATTATATGGTAGCAATAAAAGAATCTCTGAATCCCAACAGTTTCTACATATTTATCCTCCAAAGCTGCAGCAGGTGGCCTCCAGATGTTATCAGAAGCAGAAGTGTAGCCAGTGGAGCCATGCTCCTGTTCAGCAATGACGTCTCAGATACGTCTGCTTTGGGCTGGATGTGGACACGTTTGCTTTATTTCCAGTATTTTTGAATCACATGTTTCTTTATTTTTACTGGTGATGTCATCGCCTGTTTGAGGCAGTGAGATCAGATCGACTAAAATAAGGATGTAAATATTTTACTGATCTGTCTGCTGCTTGACCTCTGACCTCTGTCTTTACCCCAGGATGACCCCCTGGCACCTCCCCCCAACTCTCTGGGTGTGGTTGCTGGTTGGGGAATCTCCAACCCCAATGCCTCTGCTTCTTCCTCCCCCTCATCCACTCTGACCTTTGACCCTGTGTCGGACACCGACCTCGAGATGACCTCTGACCTCCTGCAGTATGTGAAGCTCCCTGTGGTCTCCCAGGCCGAGTGTGAGGCGAGCTACGCCTCGCGCTCCGTCAGCTACAACATCACTGACAACATGTTCTGTGCCGGCTTCTTCGAGGGGGGGCGGGACACCTGCCTAGGGGACAGCGGGGGTGCATTTGTAATGGAGGACGAGGTCAGCCGGAGGTGGGCGGTGTTTGGGTTGGTGTCCTGGGGTGGACCGGAGGAGTGCGGGAGTCTGAGAGTGTATGGAGTCTATACCCGAGTGGCCAAATACGTGGAGTGGATACAGAGCCACCTTCACGCTGCCCCCTGGTGGTGATGCTGGGTTTTTTAACACTTTATTTTTATTGGTAGTTTTGTATATTTTTTACAAAACATTCAGACATTAACAAGTACAGAGCACTAGGCTTGCAAAGATGCATTAAAAAAAAGGTATCCATTTATGGTACAATCAAATCAAACAGGTGAGTTACAGCGATGATACTTTTGGTACCAGAATTTATAATATTTTTCCATTCAAGTAAAGGTCCCATTTTTTCCATTACTTCTCAAATTTATCAGCAGCAAGTCTTAATGAAAAAGTCTCTCCATTGTGTAAATTTCCTTGGTAATGCCTATCCAGTCCAAAAATGACGGTGGAGCCACGTTTAGCCATTTGCGAGTTATGGCTTTCTTTGCACCAGCCAGTAGTTTTAATAAAAGGTATTTGTCCGATTTCCTCAGTCCTTGGGGCAAATCACAGATAAAACACAGTGAAGTCAGGGTTCAAGTTCAAGCCCATCATGGTATTGATTTCTGTAATCACTACTAGCCAGTAGGGGGCAATCTTTCCCCTACATTCCCAAAACATATGAACATGTCCTGCAGATACACATCTGGATCTGGATATCTGTTTCTTTGGCGCATTCCCCTTACAAGAGCCTGCATCCTCTTCTAGGAATTTTATGTTTCTGTCTGTGCCTCAGCTGGAGGTATCTAAAGAAATCCTGTCTTTCCAAATAAAATCTTCTCTGGAGTTGCTGGCAGTGTTTTAGTACATTTTTATCTGCGATCTTCCAGTAGCCTGTTATGACCTTATGTGACCACTGTATAAATCTCTTATCCATGTTTGCAGGTGCAAAATCCGAATCGTAAGCAGGCCGTCGTAGTCCGGGCACTTTTTCAGGTTTCTCACATTTGAATGTCCTATGCCATATCTCTATGGGCACTTTCATCAGCACCGGGAACAGGTCTGCATCTATATGTCTTTTAATAAGTGGTTGATCTCAAAGCAGTGATTGAAGCGGTGTCTCGCAGTAGGATTGATCTATCTCCTTCCATTTAGCCTCACACACTGGATCACACCACCCAATCATCACTCGCAACTGTGCAGCCTTGTAATAGTCCTCCAGACATGGCAGAGCGAATCCACCCTCATCCTTTTGTTGTTGAAATGTCTGAAATTTTGTTCTTGTTTTTTTGGGGGGGGGGCAGGTAAGATTAGAGATCGTCCTATTCCAATCGTTAAATTGCTTGTAGGGTAAGTGTATGGGCAGCGCCTGAAACAAATAGAGACGCTTTGGCAAAACATTAATTTTTATTATATGTATCCGATTGTGCATATTCATTGGCAATAATGACCAGCTCCGGCATATATGCCAAATGTTTCCAATAATGAAAGAAGATTGGGCTGATTTCAGGGTTAGTTCTGAGAACATCAGCAGCATACAGACTAACTTCATACATTATATCATTACTTATTGCACCTCTGATGTCCTGATAGCCTGCGCCAGAGGCTTAATGAATAGAGAGTGGGACTGAGAGGGCATCCCTGGCGGCAGCCTCTCTAGTTGTAGTGCATCCGTTAAATCACCATTAATTTTAATCCTGGCAGTGGGCGAGTTGTACAGAGACTGTAAGCACCTGATGATTTGGCTGTTGAAACCAAATCTCTCTAAAGCCAAATAAAGATCATTCCAGCAGTCAGACAGTCAGACAGCTACTGATTTGATATTTTTCATTTTGTTTACTAGAACGAGAGCCCGCCTCACATCATCGTGAGTTTGTCCGTTTCGAACACAGCCTGTTTGATCTGTATCTGCTAGTTCTGAAGTTATAAATTTCAACTGTTTAGCTAATAGTGTTGCAAATATCCTGTAGTCAATATTCACGACTGATATGGGTCTGTAGGAACCACGTTCTGTTTTATTCTTACCCGGTTTGGGAATTACTGAAATACCTGCTCGTTTCCAGGATGGGGGTATCTCCCCCTGTAAGCACATGGTTAAAGCAAACCCTCAGCAGAGGGGCTACGAGATCTCTGCTTGTACCACTCTGCCGGGTAGCCGTCCTCACCGGCCATCTTATTTGAAACGGCCTGGTTAATCTCCTCCGCAGTTACTGTTGGTGTTAATCTTTTATTTTGTTCCTACCAATGGTAAATCAAGGAAAGAAATGCATTAACAGAGGGCACATCTGTCGTGGTGGGTTCTGCGTACAGTCGGGTATAATAGGTCACAAAAGATTCTTTATGCTTTTCATGTCATATCTTATCATTTGCTGGGTTTTTAATTCTCTGAATAAATCTGTCAGCCTGCTGTTTCCTCTTGGCTTCTTGGATTTGGGACCATTTTCATAATAATTCTGCATGAATTTAGCCCTTTTCTCTATTTGGTCATCATATAACCTGTTTAATATCTGTTGTGCTTCTTTCATTTGTGATAAGGTGTCATCATTGTTGCTTTTCAATGAGGTCTTTTAGATGCTTCTCTGTTTCCTTTTTTTATATGAGGACCACAAAAGTAGCTTCCCTCTAAGAACTGCCTTCGCTGCATCCCATAAAATACTGAGGAGAAACATCACCATTGTTATTATAGTCCATGTATTCCTTAAATTCTTCTTTTACAAACCTATTGAATTTTACGTCCTTTAGTAGACCAATATGAAGCGTCCATGAGTGCAGATGGAGTGTCAGGTACACGATTGCATGGTCCGAAATATCTCTCAGCCCTATATCACAATTTACAATCCTGTGCTTATCAAAGTGTGACATAAAAAATAGTCCAGTCTTGAATACATATGGTGGGAATGTGAAAACCAGTATATTCCCTCCATAAGTCGACCAACCCTTCTTCTTAAGCATCCTTTTAACATATAGAGCTTCTGATTGTGACGCTTTAGTTTTACTGGACGTGTCCAGAAATGGATTCAAGTGAATATTCCAATCTCACCACATATTAATACGCCTGATGTTTCTGTTGCAATTAATTCAAAAAGGGTCCTGATCAGATCTTTATCAGTCCCTGGCCGTCTGTACACATTAAACATGTAACTTCCTTGTGATCTGTGTACCCTTTAGCCAGCATATAACGCCCCTCCTCATCTCTGATTTGTGAGGAAAGCTGGAAATGTACTTTGACAATAAGGCCACTCCTCTAGAATGTTTTTTTATATGTGAGGAATAATACAGATTTTAAACCCCATTTTACACAATTTTTTGTTCTCGGTGGCAGAAAGATGTTTCCTGCCAGAAAATGGTAAATGGCCTGTATTTATATAGCGCTTTACACACCCATTCACACACACATTCACACACTGGTGATGGCAGCTACATTGTAGCCACAGCCACCCTGGGGCGCACTGACAGAGGCGAGGC